GAATTACTATATGGGGGATGAATTACTATATGGGGGATGAATTACTATAGGGGGGATGAATTACTATAGGGGGGATGAATTACTATATGGGGGATGAATTACTATATGGGGGATGAATTACTATAGGGGGGATGAATTACTATAGGGGGGATGAATTACTATAGGGGGGATGAATTACTATAGGGGGGATGAATTACTATAGGGGGGATGAATTACTATAGGGGGGATGAATTACTATGGGGGATGAATTACTATATGGGGGATGAATTACTATGGGGGATGAATTACTATATGGGGGATGAATTACTATATGGGGATTACTATACTTACTATGGATGACACATACACATCATTCATCTACTCTTGGTCCGCCCCCGGGTCCAATATATGAACCCATTGCGGCCCTCAAGTCAAAAAGTTTGCCCACCCCTGGTCTATGGCCTGCATTACTTTCAGGATTGGATGGACAAGTATACAACTCATTTGGCTGGTTAGCTCCCTTATATGTATACAATAGATTGCCTGAAGTTCAACTTCAACCCTTCCCTACTCTATGCAAAAAAAGCTTTGGCTCTCCATATACTTTGTTGATCATTTCATTTCCATCGTCAGCCATCTGTCATCATGATCTGCATCCGCAGACGGAGGCGAAAATGTCAAATTGTTGATGAAGAAGCAGAGAAGTTCCTGCACTTTGTACCGAGTCCTCGTGAAATCAGCAGCAGGATATAAACAAGACGTCTAAAGAGGTTGATGTGGGATTAAATCCTCGATGTTTTGGAAATCATTACACTTATTTTGGCCTGAGAGATACTCAAGACAAAGAAATTCCATTAACATACAACACACGCGACATTACACGTGTAATCATGACAAAATGCTCTACGTGATTGCGTGGATTTCTGACACTCAGCGGAGAATCCTGCAGCTCAAAATGGAAAGCAGGAAAGCAGCATGACATACTGTGGTCTGATCAGCTCCATGCCAAGCTGGCCCAACTGCCCAGCTCGGGGGGGGGGGGGGGGGGGGGGGGGGGGGGGGGGAGGCCAGACAAACCCTCATTTGTCATGAATTCTGCAGTAGAAACTGTCTGTATTGCAGGGGCCATCACAATCTACTGCATACATCAGCTGCAGCTACGAAATTATAATCTTACCGGCTTGCTGGGGGAGCAATGACAGCCTTCCTAACACATTAAACCAGATATTCAAGAATTGTGGATTTCGGCCAAAATGCGACCCTCTTTTTCATTCCATGTGGTCCTCCAACCTAAGGCTACGTTCACACTAGCGTTGTGTGCAGGCGGCAGAGAGGCGTTTGGGAAGCGTTTTTTACCGTTTCCCAAACGCCTCTGCCAATTCTGCACATTACAGCACATGGTGCTGTTCTAACGGGAGCGTTTGCGTCGCGGCAAAACGGACGCCTCTGGTCGAGTCAGGAGGCGTTGAAGCCTCCTATTCTAGTCTATGGTGCCGCTCCGCAAACACCCGGCCGGCATTTGCGGTGCGGTTGCGGGGCGTTTGCGGAGCGGTAACACCATTCAAACTGCATTATAGGCGTTTGTGGGGCATTTGTAACGCTCGGTAAACACCTAGTAACCGCCACTAACCCGCGCATGCGGCGTTTGCGGAGCGTTTGCCGAACGTTAAAAAACCGCTCCGCAAACGCCGGACCAACGCTTGCCAAACGCTATAGGGGCGTTTGGCAAGCGTTGGTAAAACAGCCAAGTGTGAACGAGCCCGAAACGAGGCCGCAGACCTCCATAAATGTGCAATTAATAGTACTGAACAGTTACATTTTGTTTTTTTCCCTGAAAAATCGAGAAGAGTGGGAACGTCTGTCCAGCTATTAGTAGAGGCAAGGTCTTGCTTCCTCATGTCAGAACCTCCAGCAAGCAGAACAGTGAGCAGCACAGTACTGAACTCCAAACTTCCTGAGACCGGCAGTCAGAGGCAACAGTGCCTTACATCTCGTGCTGCAGATATAAAGCTACGAGGCTACAGACCAGGATTTCACTGGTGGAATATATTTAATACAGACCAGGATTTCACTGGTGGAATATATTTAATACAGACCAGGATTTCACTGGTGGAATATATTTAATACAGACCAGGATTTCACTGGTGGAATATATTTAACACAGACCAGGATTTCACTGGTGGAATATATTTAATACAGACCAGGATTGCCTAGACGCACTCGCATACCAGGAAGTGCACGGCTATTTTTCCAGACAAAAAGGCAAATTTTTTAGGGTAATGGCACAAATACCATTTCTAAACTCCCTGTAGAACACAGAAAATCTTCACTATTTGCGTTTGGTAGCACGTTAAGCTGTTTCCAGTACTGAAAGGTTAGTCATGGGAGGTTAACCCCTTCACGCCTAAGGGTAAAACAAATCTAAATGCCTAAGCACAATTCTGCAACGTTGACGTGTTAGTAAAACCGTACATATCGTCACAACTACTTTGTACATCCAGGTGGATTATACCTTGTTTTTTTCAGGACAAATTGGGCTTTCATTTGGTGGTAAATGGTCATGGATAGCTCCTAATTTTTTTTTTTATTATTAAAGGAAAACTGGGCCAAAATAGTAAAAAAAATCATTTTTTTAAATTTAACTGTGTGTTTCTTGTTACGACCATAACCTACCACCAAAGAACAACTCAAAATACATTCTCCAGTTCTTGACGATCGCAGCGATACCATATATGTGTATGTTATTTGTTGTTTATACCCGTAGTACAGTCCAGAAACAACAGTGCGCATTTTGTTTTTGTCTTTTTTTTTTTATATAAAACACACTGTCACTGACATTGACATTAACACTAACTGACACTGATACCAATTTTTTTTTTAAATCCTGACCTTTGACCCTGACCTTTGCCCTTGACCCTGACCTTTGACCCTGACCTTGACCCAAACACTAACCCTGGTACTGAACTAGATCAAACCTTGATCTAGGTATTTTTCTTTATTTTTTCTTTTATTTTTTAATATTTATTTATCTTTTTTTTTTTTTTTTTTACAAACTTTTTTTTCTCCCTCTGTGTCAGGAGTTCGAGAGATACAATGTATCTCTCTTCTCCATTCATAGAGAGAGAGAAAACAAGGGGGCCGGGCTGCACAGTGATTGATCACTGTGATAGCCAATCAGAGGCTATCACAGCGATCACGTGACCCGGAATCGGGAGTCCCGGGTCCCGATCGTTAGAACGGGACCCGGGGCTCTCAGTGACACCGCGGTCTTGGTGCTGGGAGCGTGCCGAGCGGCGCGCTCCCAGCACAAAGATAGGTACGCAAATATGCGGCCCCACGGAAAAAAAGCCCAGGTCCGTGAGGCCGCATATTTGTGTTACGTCGGCGTCAAGGGGTTAATTACAAAATGGATTATTCTATCTTTCAGGAAATTTTGAGGAGGTCCCAAGGCTTGTCCCACCCCAGGCGTGAAACTGCATCCCTTCCACAGCAATCTACTTAGGCTAGGCTCACATCTATGCATGTGCAATTGTTGAGTTTTTTAATGCGTTTTCATGCGTCCGTTTCCGTCCATAAGACGTACCCGCAGGTCCTAGGATGGGAAGGGTGATATCTTGGTTAAGGATGCACGATACCCTTTTTTTTCGATCGGCGAGTAAGCGTACCGACACTTTCAGTCAAGTACTCGCCGATACCGAGTACCAATACTTTGCGGTGCAATCTGCGTACAAAAGAAACATACAAAAGAAAAAAAAAAAGCATGCAATTTGAACAGGAATGCGGTGCAATTCCTGTCCAAGTCGCATGCAGTTTTCCCACTGCTCCTGTGTGAACCCAGGGTTGTCATAGAATAAGATCACAGGAGTGGTGCGGGAAACCTCCCTGCACCGATCCCATGTTGTCACAGAAGGAAAAGCCACTTCACAGGACTGGGGATTTCAAAATCTCCGCGGCCACCTCAGTGCTGACCAATCAGAAGCCGCCTAGCCAATATGGCATCATGGCTTTCTCTCCTCTCCTTGCAGGGATGGCAGTATGGGATACATTGGTTCTGAATGGTCAGCACCATGAGCCATCTAGCCCGTACTGTCATCCCTTCATGGATAGGAGAAAGTGGCGGAGATTTCAAATCCCCAGACCTCTGAAGCGGCTTTTTCTTGTGTGACAGTATAGGATCAGTACAGGGAGGTTTCCCACACCACTCCTGTGTGAGCTCAGGATATGACATGTATGGGTTCACACAGGAGCAAGGGGAAAACACATGCAATCTGGACAGGAATTGCACACCACTGATGTTCAAATCACATGCTATCCTTTGTGAAGCAATTTGCGTCCATATAATTTGTATTGACGCAGATTGCACCGCAAAGATTCGGTTTCGGGTAGCGGGAACATGTTCACGAGTACCTGCAAAACATATATCGTAATGGTGCATCCCCAATCTCGGTCATCACTGCAAAAATTTTCTATATTGTTATTTAGATCCAGCAATTCCCTACAAAGTAAAAATAATCCGAGGGGGTATAAAGAAGCCGGATTACTTTTACAGGCAACTTAGGTAGCACAGTGCCCCTTCCCCACCACCCCCAGCTTTCACCAGGCTCTAACATCTCATCGGGTAAGGATGCGACCGGGAGGAATCCTGTCCCTGGGAAACAGTGAGAGGATCTGATGTTGTTACTCCCACTGTATGTCAGAAACCAGAAACGACAAAAGATTTCATCACTTCTGGTTTCGGTCTCATGTAAACAAGCAGTTACCGGCTTGTGAAAGCATCTCCTTACATTGGGGGTCAGTGGGAAGAATGTCCCTTACATTGGTGGCCAGTGGGAAGAATGCCCCTTACATTGGTGGTCAGTGGGAAGAATGTCCCTTACATTGGTGGTCAGTGGGAAGAATGTCCCTTACATTGGGGGTCAGTGGGAAGAATGTCCCTTACATTGGTGATCAGTGGGAAGAATGTCCCTTACATTGGGGGTCAGTGGGAAGAATGCCCCTTACATTGGTGGCCAGTGGGAAGAATGTCCCTTACATTGGTGATCAGTGGGAAGAATGTCCCTTACATTGGTGGTCAGTGGGAAGAATGTCCCTTACATTGGTGGTCAGTGGGAAGAATGTCCCTTACATTGGTGGTCAGTGGGAAGAATGTCCCTTACATTGGTGGTCAGTGGGAAGAATGTCCCTTACATTGGGGGTCAGTGGGAAGAATGTCCCTTACATTGGTGGTCAGTGGGGAAGAATGTCCCTTACATTGGTGGTCAGTGGGAAGAATGTCCCTTACATTGGTGGTCAGTGGGAAGAATGTCCCTTACATTGGTGATCAGTGGGAAGAATGTCCCTTACATTGGGGGTCAGTGGGAAGAATGCCCCTTACATTGGTGGTCAGTGGGAAGAATGTCCCTTACATTGGAGGTTAGTGGGAAGAATGTCCCTTACATTGGTGGTTAGTGGGAAGAATGTCCCTTACATTGGTGGTCAGTGGGAAGAATGTCCCTTACATTGGGGGTCAGTGGGAAGAATGTCCCTTACATTGGTGGTCAGTGGGAAGAATGTCCCTTACATTGGTGGTCAGTGGGAAGAATGTCCCTTACATTGGTGGTCAGTGGGAAGAATGTCCCTTACATTGGACATTGCAGAAGAATCCGGAGCAAAGGCCTTTTATCAGAGATACTACATCAAATAGAGTTCTTGTTTTCACTTTATTTTAAAACCTGCATGAGCCTCCCAACGCTGCCATCGCCCAGCAAGTAACATCGCTGATTGTGGTGAAGCAAAGACTGAGAATCCACATTACCATAGTTCACCTTCACATGAAAAGGTACATTAACTCCAAATATCCTAACACCCTTCCAGACCCCGTGGCACACAGCGGCTGTGATGCCCTATGCTGCCTGTGTATTGGTCCATACGCTGCAGCCCCGAAGTGAGTATTATAATGCTGACAAAAACAGCGCCACTGAAAAGCGCATTGTTTATTCTTGAACACCTTTCTGAAATAAGTCGCCTCAGACGCGCATCTCATTGGTCAGCACGGTCTTGTGGCTGACTTGCCACTGCAAGCATTATGATGGATACTAACTCCAGGCCTGTGTATTTGGGTGAATTGATCTCTACACCAGTAACACGGGGGCATCAAGACTGCTATGTGCAGCAGGGTCTGGAAAGGTGGGCAGCTTATTTGGCGTTAGTCCAGGTTATTTTTTGTGAAAAGGTGAACTTACCCTTTAACCTCCCTAGCGGTCTCATTATGTCCATATTTCTGTGCTCAAAGCGGTACATGTTTTTGCATGGAAATATGTAGTTTTTTTATTGTAGACTGTAATTTTTAGGAACAACTCACTGAAGTCTGTCCGAACAAGAGTCGAGTAAGCATCCCGGGGATGATAAAATTTGAAACACGAAATCATAAATTATAATTTAATAAATAATCATCAAAAAAAAATAATATATATAATAATTTTAATTCAATATAATAATCAAACCAAAAACACTGAAATTTGAAATGTAGCGCCAAGTTCGCACATCACTGAGCAAAGTCGCAGAATCGTTTTCAGTGTCTGATGACGAATTTCCCCCACAAATCATTATCACTCAATTCTGCAAGTGGTTCTGATTTACTATCGCTGTTCTCTAGCCGGTCTAAAACCAATTTTGACCTAAAGGGACGCTTTTTGGACGCCATGGAAGTTTCTCAGTTTCCAGGCAGAAAGAACAGTAATAATACAGGCAGGGCGCCGGACAAAGCACTCGGGACAAAATGTATGTGAAATGGTTTATTAATGTTATACTATGTGATTTTAGTGTATTTAGTGAATGTCACTTTTTCACATTTTTAAATTTCCCGCCAGTTCCATCCCCCGTACATCCCGACGTCGCAGGGAACGGAACCCGGAAGACGGATGCCGGCATCAGGCGGAGGACATTGCCGGGGACGCTGCAGGGGGGACATTGCGGGAGCACAGGACAAGGTAAGTGCAGAAGAGATCCCGGAGCAACGCTGCAGTGTATTCCCGAGTGTAGCTGGGGGGGGGGGGGTTACCGCTTGTGGTGCTGAAACTTTACCCCGAGCTACACTCAGGAATACCTCCAGGGAGGTTAAAGTAGTTGAACCGGGCCCATGAAATAAATTTCTGTACTGTTCACCGAGCAATCATGAAGCACCGAAACAAAACCAGCACTTAGACCAATAGGGAGGGCTGCTATCCTGATAGTCTTTTGAAAATGATAGTTGCCTGGCTGTGTCTGCCATCAATATTTTCAGCATGTCAGTCAACCTCCTAATTTGCATATTTGTTCCTTCCTACCAGAAAGGCAACCAGGGAAAAGAAAAGAAGATGAGAAATACCTCAGTATACATTCCTTGATAAGGTTGATAACCATTTCCTCACATCTGCAAACGTGAGAAATATTCCCCACTGCCTCGTAGTGCAAAGCAAGTGATAAGGGGAGCTGATTAGCACCTACCTTGTAATTGCTAGAATTCACCCAGGACGTAGCCAATCCATCCACCATTTTATCCAGCAGAGTCTGGTCCTGTTCTAAATCCACAGATTTCTGTTTATCCGACAGGCATTCTATCAGGTCTGGACCCAACTGCAGCCGTTTTCCTACATCCTTCTGCTGGATCTGAGCTAACCAGTAATCCATTCCCTGCTCCATGGCTAGGGGGCGATGTAGCACACGCTAGGAGGAAAGGCAGTGGGGGGGGGGGGGTCAGCAGATTCGTCAGCGGCTACTTCCGCGTGGATGCGCTTGTGTGAAAAAGCTTGCAGAGGGCTTGGCCGTCAAAGATGCAATCCTGGGAATGACAGCAATTCACCATGTGTCTGCTGAGCAGCTGGTGTGATATTAAAAGTCTAATTTAAATATTCAGCAAGAAGGGGGAGAGGCACTGTAATGTAAAGCCGCTGTTCCAGAGGTACATAGTTCTGCAGACAGTCCTGAGGAGAGAAAGTCACAGTTATTAATAGAAAGTCAGCATTGTTTTCTTTATTAACGTCTCATCTTAAATCAGTCACAATACGGAGAGGGACATTATTAAATATTCCTGATATTCTCAATTTTCAATGTATCGAACTTGGAAAACAAATTAAATTTCCACATTATGAATAGAAGACATGCAACAAATCTTTCAGACCGCATTATTTTACTGAATCCAACAGCAGATACTAACGGCATAGACAGAGGAAAACCGAAAGTTCTGTAGTGGTTTGGATTAGAGCTGAATGCCAGGCAGATAGAAAAGAGACACAAATGTAGCTCTCTATTCATTAAGATGTCATTAAATGAAAGTTAGTGTTACTAAACACCCCGGACCCCGCATTCACTATATCCGCTCTCCCAGGACCCTGCATTCACTATATCCGCTCTCCCCGGACCCCGCATTCACTATATCTGGTCTCCCGGACCCTGCATTCCCTATATCCGCTCTCCCCAGACCCCGCATTCACTATATCCTCTCTCCCCGGACCCCGCATTCACTATATCCGCTCTCCCCCGGACCCCGCATTCACTATATCTGGTCTCCCCGGACCCTGCATTCCCTATATCCGCTCTCCCCGGACCCCGCATTCACTATATCCGCTCTCCCCGGACCCCGCATTCACTATATCCGCTCTCTCCCCGGACCCCGCATTCACTATATCCGCTCTCCCCGGACCCCGCATTCACTATATCTGGTCTCCCCGGACCCTGCATTCCCTATATCCGCTCTCCCGGACCCGCATTCACTATATCCTCTCTCCCCGGACCCCGCATTCACTATATCCGCTCTCCCCGGACTCTGCATTCACTATATCCGCTCTCCCCGGACCCCGCATTCACTATATCCGCTCTCCCCGGACCCTTCATTCACTATATCCGCTCTCCCCGGACTCTTCATTCACTATATCCGCTCTCCCCGGACCCTTCATTCACTATATCCGCTTTCCCCGGACCCTTCATTCACTATATCCGTTCTCCCCGGACCCTTCATTCACTATATCCGCTCTCCCCGGATCCTGCATTCACTATATCTGGTCTACCTGGACCCCGCATTCACTATATCCACTCTCCCCGGACCCCGCATTCACTATATCCGCTCTCCTCGGACCCCGCATTCACTATATCCGCTCTCCCCGGACCCCGCATTCACTATATCCGCTCTCCCCGGACCCCGCATTCACTATATCCGCTCTCCCCGGACCCCGCATTCACTATATCCGCTCTCCCCGGACCCCGCATTCACTATATCCGGTCTACCTGGACCCCACATTCACCATATCCGCTCTCCCCGGAACCCGCATTCACCATATCCGCTCTCCCCGGACCCCGCATTCACTGTATCCGCTCTCCCCGGACCCCGCATTCACCATATCTGCTCTCCCTGGACCCCACATTCACCATATCCGCTCTCCCCGGACCCCGCATTCACCTTATCCGCTCTCCCCAGACCCTGCATTCACTATATCTGGTCTACCCTGGACCCCTGCATTCACTATATCCGCTCTCCCCGGATCCCGTATTCACTATATCCCTGGACTCTGCATTCACTATATCCGTTCTCCCCGGACCCTGCATTCACTATATCTGCTCTCCCCGGACCCCGCATTCACTATATCCCTGGACTCTGCATTCACTATATCTGCTCTCCCCAGACCCTGCATTCACTATATCTGCTCTCCCCGGACCCTGCATTCACTATATCTGCTCTCCCCGGACCCTGAATTCACAATATACACTCTCCTCAGACCCTGCATTCACTATATCCGCTCTACCCGGACCCCGCATTCACTATATCCGCTCTCCCCGGACCCTGCATTCACTATATCCGCTCTCCCTGGACCCCGCATTCACTATATCCGCTATCCCTGGACCCCGCATTCACTATATCCGCTCTCCCCGGGGGTGGTTTTGGACAACTTCTGCTTCCGATCGCCTAGGCGATCACATCGGAAGTGGGAGCGGGTACCCACTCCCCAAAGGTGCCAATCCTTAATCGGGAGAGCGGGGACCAAAGGCTTAAAGCAGAACTTCCCCCTTTGGGTGGAGTTCCACTTTAAGGCTTTAGAACCACTTTGAGGGAGAAGCAGCACAAGGAGCCAAAACATTCTTCTTGGGTGGTCATGTCCTAGCAATGAGCATGCTAATAGCAGGAGAGAGCAAAGTGAGACAGCTGAGCTAACCAGAATGCTGTATATCCTTTCACTATCCAATTACATTTGACTGGGGGAGGGACAAGACCTGTAAGTGTCACTTACTACAGGACGCCAGACAGGGCTGCACTGTGAAAATCCAAAATCCAGCTTTCATCAGAACAAGAGATGAGGGGAAATCTAACAGGGACAGCTGTTTGGCAAGAGAGAAAGTCCTCAACTCTGTTTGAAGCTGAGCCCGGGTAAAAAAACTCATTCAAATCTATTCCTCAATAACCTCAAAGGATATAAAGCCCCTGTGTGTGCACCAAAAGTCTCTGCAAACCAGATATGACCTTGTAAAAGAAGCAGTGATATCATGACTGTGGGCTCCACCCACTACTGAAAACTACAGGAGGGGGCGGGGACAAGACCAGTCACCCTGCATAAAGAGAGAAAGCAGCTGTGGGAGGGGCCCAGCAGACTCCACACACTACAGGCTGCCTGCAGAAAA